TTTCGCCCAACATATATATTCATCATATTAAGTACAATATGCAATTGTTGCTGTGGTCACACGGGGCGTATACTTAATGTGCTTCACTGAATGGAAACGGTCAGTGCGGGGATGAAAACGGGGGAAAGACAGCACTCAATAAATTATTCGGAATGAGCTTTTGAACGTTAATCGCACAAACAGACTACGCACTGTCAGAACAATAAGAAGGTTGAGATGTTTAAATTCCACGATTTAATATTCAGAACTTTAATTCCGGTGATCTGCACCGAAAATCTTTTTAAATTTTATTTTATTTTTAACATCTAATACATATAGCTTTATAAACTCCATAACATATAACATATTTAATTTGGAATTGTGGAATTTCGAGTTATTTTGTAATAAAATATATTTCGATTTTATCAACTCGAGTTTGGGTTTTTTGATTAAAACCCCGGGAAATAATGTTCAGGTCTTGGAATGTCATACCTCGTTGAATTCGTTACAAAATTTCCAATCGATTGGTATACTCAGCTCAAAAATTTTATTTTGGGCCATATTTGGAAAAAAATCAAGTGTTACCCCTTATCAAAAATGCGAAAATCGGTAAAAAAATGAAATTTACTAAAACCTCCTGGAATCGATTGCGTAGGTTGTCAGCTACACAGAACAGTCATTCTTTTCACTGTGCGTCTTATTCTGGCAAAGCTACAACATAAAAACCTTTCAAAAATGTGTTTTAAATGCATGTTTTTGATGGCCAAAATAAAGCAAAAAACCGCTTCTTTTTTCAGTTTTTTAATCAAAATCCTTGGAAATAATGGTCAGATCTTGGAATGTCATACCTCGTTGAATTCGTTACAAAATTTCCAATCGAATGGTATACTCAGCTCAAAAATTTTATTTTTGGCCATATTTGGAAAAAAATCAACCCCTTATCAAAAATGAGAAAATCGGTCAAAAAATGAAATTTACTAAAACCTCCTGGAATCGATTGTATAGGTTGTCAGCTACACAGAACAGTCATTATTTTCGCTGTGCGTCTTATTTTGGCAAAGCTACAACGAAAAAACCCCTAAAAAATGAGTTTTAAATATATGTTTTTAAATGCCAAAATCCAGAAAAAAACAGCTCATTTTTTAAGTTTTTCAATCAAACCCCTTGGAAATAATGGTCAGATCTTGGAATGTCATACCTCGTTGAATTCGTTACAAAATTTCCAATCGAATGGTATACTCGGCTCAAAAATTTTATTTTTGGCCATATTTGGAAAAAAATCAAGTGTTACCCCTTGTGAAAAAAGTAAAAAACGGTCAAAATTTATATTCTTTCAAATCAAGCCAGAATCGATAGTTTGGGTCGTAAGCTACACAAAACAGTCATTCTTTTGACTGTGTGTCGTATTTTGTCGAAGTAATAACAAAAACCCCTTAAAAAATGTGAACAAAAACCTTTAAAAATAATTTTTATGACCAAATACCGAAAGGAACAACTCGAGTTTCGGTTTATTGATAAAATTTCTTTTAGTCTTAAGTAAAAAAAAAGGCCAAATAACTAGTAAAAATAAATGCAAATAAAATAAATCTATTCATAGTTTGAATTTGTACAAGTAAGATGTTAAGATGAGGCATCTAAAATGCAAAACGCTTCCCTTTGGAATATTTGCGATTAATTAAAAGTTTGGCCAAGTATTTTGTCTTTCCCCACCATATTAAAATGAAAACTTTTGACAGAGTTTGAATCCCTGTGGTCACAGTTTAAACATTTGCAAAGTCAAAACATCCGAGAACAGTCCCTGTGACCAATCTCGCATTTGTGTTTAATCAATTAAACTGGATAATCCGGTGATTCCTAATGGAAATCCACTAGATTTGGTGCTCGATTTGTGGGACAGCCCCTCCTTTTCCTTCTCCTTCTCCTTTTCCCTTCCCCTTTCCTTTTCCTTTTCCTTTTCCATTCCTATTCCCTTCTGCTTTTCCCAAAGGAGCCCACACGATTCCGAGGCGAGGCCATGTCTGCTGATTGCGATGAATCAACCGAACTCGTTGCGCTGACAGACGAAACATTGTTGAATGTGGTGCGCGGAACAGAACAGAGCAGAAAACTTTGAAATGGATTAAATGACAGGGGGGGAGGGGAGGGGGATAAGGGGCGACTTGGGCCAAGCCCACAGTTCAATGGACGATTTTCATTTTGCTTGCGGTAGACAAAAGTTTCTCCTTTATCAAAGTTGCGGCTTGAGGGCGGCGGGTGCGAATAAGCCGGGGGCTAAGGGATAGTTATACCACCGAGCTGCTATACATTACCGCTAACGAGAAAAATCAACTGTTAAATTGCTGAAAATGACAGAAAACGATGCTGAATAACAAGGACTGGGAGAAAAAGGATAAGAAAATGCGAGTGAAAACGGAATAGGATTTATAAATAGGGATGTTATTGTAAAAGCATTACGGATTCTGGATAACAGAAAAGGGATCTGATTTTTTTTTTTAATAAAACATATCTGAAGTCTTCCGGAATTAGTTAAGTTTTTATGCAATATATGATTGGATAACCTTCTCTTAAAATATGATTATTAAGTATATCTCCAAAGAGTTCAAAATCTCAATAAGTAAGCTTCTTTGCCGAGCAAAGTTTATCTCTCGAAAATGTCGTAGATCTTAAAAATATTTCATTTCCAACTGCCAGGACAGGAAACATTTGAAATTGAAATCATTTAAGACTCCCCAGTGCAAGTTATTCAAAATAAAGTGTACTTCAGATGGTGGGCAATAAGTTCTTAACTTAAACGCCTGCTGTCTGGGTCTTAAAGTCATGGCGAAGGCAATATACCCAAAAGTTTACGAGTGTAATGAGTATAAAAACTTGTCTACAAGTTTCGTGTGGATTTTCATTAGCAACGGCAATGGCCAAAAACGAAGCAAATGATATCGAAATGAAAACAGACGGATGGTGGTTGGATCAACCTGTTGCCCGAAAGTAATCGAAGTTCATTCTTTACTTTTGCTGCGGGTCACGAATAAATTCGGGCATTTAAGGTGCTCACGCGATTTGGCAGCAATAACAAAAGGAGACGACGTCCACGACAATGATGTGCGGCACCGAAAACCCCAGACCACGGAGCGTATGCGTGTTACAGAAATAAAAATGGCTGCTCCACACATACACACACGCACACACAGATACCGGAACATACATGTACGCTGTTGGTGTGTGTGCGTGTGTATGGGCGTGTGTTTGCCATAGCTTCATTATGATGGCGTCGTTAGGTCTATTAAATTTCCCTTTGTTGCATTGCCCGACGTCTTTTATAGTGTTCTTCATAATTTTAGTTACGTATAAAACAGTCGGCAAGGGTCCTTGAACTTCGCGCAAGTTGGATTTTAGTGGGGCTTCAACGGCGACAGTTGATCTATATGGCAGCTATTCATAGACAATATGTAGTTTTATGGAAAATTTCCAGTAGAGAGTTGGCATTTTTGAGGACCAGCATAGGTTTGTCATAAATCTTTTGACATACATTAAATATTTTGGTGATTAATGTTGCTAGGTTTGTTTTTATATATTCCTCAAGGTATTTAAAGCCACTTTATTCAGTCTTAAACAAATACTAAATATATAGGTAGCCATGTAATTAATGCAATGAATTAAATATACAAATATACTAAATAATTTGTATTCTTGCTGTCTTCGCAAACCTTATAAGCAAAGTAAAACCATAGTTTTAAACGTAGTCCGCATTTGAAACAAAACTTACAGTCAACCAACTGAAAAGCAGAAGTTACCCATTATAAATAAACCCAAAACAATAACAAATGCAATGTTTAAAAAGCAAATGCAAAGAAGTTTATATAAACAAAAGAAGGTCACACGTTCGCAGTGCGATTGGCAGTGGGAAAACTTTGTTTCTTAGCCACTTTTCCGAAAACATTAGCCGCGAGGAAATCTCCTCGAGGTGCTAACCACACTGGCTAGTGTCCTGTTGTGTTGTCCTGTTGTCCTTTCGGCCTCATCCTGCGTAACGGCTTATGTGCAAAGTCGCTAAAAACTTGAAAACTCGCGGCAATGCCATCTAAAATTAATGCGGCATGACCTTTTCAGCAAGCCAAACAACTTGTACAAAAACTTTTGCCAAAAGAGAAATGCGGGGAAAGTGCGGGGAGAAAGTGAGGGGGAGAAAGTGGGCAGCTGGTAGAACAAATGGGGCCACTACCTGCTGAACTTCAGACCATTGATCTGACGGAAGATGGCTGAAAGACCTGGTCGTTGGCCATTTAATGTGCGCATAATTGGCTTGTTGCATATTTTATCGCTTAATTGCCGCACATCGGTTGTGGGGATGGTAGTGGGCGTGGCTCAGATATTAGCAAGTGCACTCGAGCATTAGCAAGTGTTCCTGCCCCTTAATTATACCACAGTGGCACTGAGAACAAATGGCTAAACTACAGTTTTTTGATCAATTTCGAAACCATTACTCTCTAAGGACATTAATTTCGGGCTCTATAAAATAATAGCGTATATAAAATACACTCTTAAGTATATAAAGAATCCTTACTTCCTTTAAAAATAATAACACAAATAAACATTAACATGGATATATAAGCAAAATGAAGTTAACAGATTTGGAAACAAAATTCTTAAGCCAGTAACGTCTCAATAAGTTGAATTATTTGATATGCTAAGTAAATTAAGAAATATAGAAGCCAAAAATGTGGCAACGTTTTTGTTCGCCGTGCAATCTTTAATCAAAATGTTTGTTGCGGTGGCTTTGGACGCTAAATAGTAGCTCCCTCTTCCTGCCAGAGGATTAAACGACTTTGTCGTGTGTCTTCCAAGCCGTTTCCAACTCAAGGCCTCGCATTTATTTCGCAATTAAATAAATCTATTTGAAAGGATGGGGAAAAAGCACAGATCGAAATCATAAACCACAAAACAGCGGGTGTCAAAATTGAACTGAGAACAAAACAAGAGAACTAAAAAAGATTCCAAAAATTAGAACCAAAGCTCTATTGCTTATACAATCCAAGCGTTTTCGAATTAATCGGCGGATGATTTCCTAAATCCTGGAGTGGAAGCACTGCTGATGGTGGCGATGTCTGGTGGCGCAGAGTGGAGCCATTGGCTCGCTGGCCAGGTGTCCTCCACTAAACCTTCTACCGCAACGTTGCCGCCTGATCGTGGATGTCCTCGTCTCGCCGGGTGTGAAGTTCGTGTCCAGCTGCTCCCTGTTTGCAGGTGTACTTCTCGCCGGGTAATGGCCGTGCAATTGGGTGTGGACGCGACTGTTGGCCTGCGATGACATGACCTCCCGGATCAGTGTGCGGTGTTTGTCCAGAGCCTGGCGCACCTCCGCCAAACAGGCGCTGATTCGCAGCATGTGGCGCAGTTCCAGGCGGGTCCTCTGGCTCATCAGCTCACCGAAATAGTGGGCGGCGTGCAGGGTCAGGGTGTCGATGCCCAGGTATTTGGCCGCCAGGATGAGCTCCACCAGCTGGCGCAGCTCACTGCCCAACAGACGCTCCTCCCAAGAACTGATGCGGAATCCAGTGGCAGTACGTTTTGCATTGACTTCGGGGTGATTTTCGACATCGCTTTCACTCCTCTCCTTGCACCTTTCTCTTTTATTACTTTCATTTCCGTTTCTATCACTTAAATTTGGCTGCCCACTAGTACAAACTCCACGCTTCTCATTTATGGTTTCACATGCGTTAATTACCTTTTGTTTGCCGTTTTCGATCCCGTTTCCACTAATTTCGTTGCTAATTGTTGTCTTGTGGTCTTTGGCGGTATTTACAAACTGATATAGAGTGCTCTCACTGCTGTAGCCACTGTACTCGTTTATAAGTGTACTGTCATCGCTATTATCTTCCTCACTGCTCCCACTAATTTCTTCATCGCTTACATTATGGTTGTATTTTATGAAATCTGTGTCTGTTTCAGTGCCACTTCCGCTTTCGTTTGAGCTTTCATTGTTTAGCCACATAGCCTTTATCCAAGTCTTCCCACTATCGGTGGTAACTTTCCCGCCACTTTCTTCTTCGCATTCCGTCATTTCATTTCCACATCCATAACCTGCATTTGCAATATCTTTAGTTTCGCATATAATACCTTTGTCATTTCCGCTTTTATTGTAACCAATACATATTTGATTTTTCCTACATTCTGCATTTCCATTTGGGCTTGTGTTCTCACAATTTTCGCAACTGTTCGCGTCACTCTCATTTCCGCTTTTACTGCAGTCATTCCAACTTTTATTTTTCGCACTTTCCTTGTTATCATTAGTGACTGTACCATCGTTTTGAGTGACTGTACCATCGTTTTGAGTGACTGTACCATCGTTTTGAGTGACTGTACCATCGTTTTGAGTGACTGTACCATCGTTTTGAGTGACTGTACCATCGTTTTGAGTGTTCTCACTGCTATTTTCACAACTGTTCTTGCTACTTCCGTTCCCGCTGCCATTGCTTTCGATCATTCCGCTTTTGGCAATACAAGTTTCTTGGATTATCCCCTTCTCGGTGGCAAGACTGTTCTTAGTCGCCTGTTCCCTGTCCCCAGCACCTTCGCTGTTCCCATTTCCGGTTCCGCTCTGCTGGTGCATCCACATGATCACGCGCAGCAGCGTCGCCGAGCGGATGGCCCGCAGTTCGATGGGCTGCTCCACCCCCTCCCGCTGGCGCATCACCTCCGAGTGGCGGTAAATCAGGCGGCATGGCACATTGATCAGCCGGTGATCGCTGCAGAGGAAGCGCAGCAGTTGCATATCCGGTTGCCGTTTTCCCGCCACCAATTCGAGCAGCGACCGCGGCGACACTTCCGGTCCGTCGTCCTCCTTCGCGGCCGGTCCGCCTCCCCCTCCGCCTCCGTCCCCTGCCTCTGCCTCTGCTGATTCTGATTCCAATGCGACCACCGCATCCGTGGCTTCATCTCCAAGGCGACACTGGCCACCGTGGGCGAACTATGCGCCAGTTGGATGCGACGAAAGGAGGTGCGATTGCCGCGCACCGCCGGCGGCATTGAGCGTCGCACCAGCGAGCGGATGACCGCTTCCGCCTCCACTTTCACCAACGCGTCCCGCCTCGATCGCGCCTCGACCAGGGCGGCCAGCGTGCCGATCGGCAGCGGCAGCCGCGAGCGGTACAGTGAAAAGCGGTACGGGCGACAGGTGCTGCGCGAGCGGGAAACCCGCGAATTTGGACCATGAAGCGCCGTCAGCGAATGCTTGACGCGTTGCGGAATCATCGACTTGTGGCTGGACGACATGTTCTCTGGGGGTTTTTCCCGACTCTTTCCTTATTTTCCAGGTACTTTCTCTTTCCGTTTTGGACTCGGGCTCGATATCGGCTTGTCAGTGTGAGTGTGTTTGCGCTGAATGCTTTCTCTTTGGCGGCTCGATCGAATGGAAACTCTCGGTTGACCATCAGGCGCAAATATAATATATACAATGTTAAATATGGCCTAAAAAATAATATCGAATTTTTGGCATTTTAAAATTTTATGGATTGGAAGACATCGTTTTCAAAGTCATAATATTACGTATTTCTCGTTATGAAACATAACATAATTTGAATTGATACATATTTGAATGTATATATATAATAGTAAAAAATACGAAAGTGTTAAATAACCTATATAGAAACTGTAACATAAGGAAGATGTATCGAAAAATAATTAATAATTTCAATGTTTTGCTATTAACCGCAAATAATTGTTAGAACTTAAACTTCATATTAATACAATTTTAAACTAATGTAGTGATTTAACCACAAACTAATTTACTTTGGTAGCATCGTTCATTTAAGTGGAAAATGACTTGCTAGAAAATATATATTTTCTCTACTCAATTTCGATTTGTTTAATCAACAAACAAATGAGGTTAGTAGCGCAAAGTTGAATAATTATGGTTGTTGATTTTCTGCCGAATTTAGTTGGCTTTAGGGCTTCCACTATTATTTTGGACAGCATGCCTCCGCATTGAGGTAATCACTATTGATCGAATAAGTACGGGAATTAAGCAGAGATACCAATCGAAAGCCAGCGAGCAAATAGTCAAACGAAATCTCTGAATAAACAGTTGTGCCCCTTGGTCATTTTGGGATTTCTTTGCTTGGGCTTTGCAAAAAGGACACGGTTTGACCCCAATTAAATGCACTTTCAAACCATTTTCCAGCCTTCCCTTGGGATTTGTTTGTGTTTCTGTGTCTTTGAGCAGGACATTAAAAAGTAATTTAAATTGAATTTCTTTCAGCGAACCACGGGGATCAGGAATGGGTTTGAATTGAGATTGGAATAGGGATGGCAGTGGCAGTGGCACCGTAGTAGGCACTTTCTTATTGCAATTAGAGCAAGGGGACAATAAATCTCAATATAGGGGAATCCGTCCGTTCAGAACCGTTTCAATTCCATTTCGTTGCCGGGTGCGTGGATTTAAATTGCAATGGAAGAAAGGAAGGAATCAGGGAAGCCAGCGTAACACCATGGCAATGCATAAATCTAGCTCTGTTCCCTGTATTTCCTGGAAATTTCAAGGAAGGTGTGTTGGGTACACTAGGTGAAATAATCCCCCAACAGGAAAAGTTACATTTTCTTAAGATATGCAAAGCACTAAAATGTTTTGCTTACGATATTCTTTTCTTAGAACAGAATATGTGTTCTAATAAATAGTAGATACTTTAAATACGCCTGATAAAAAAATATGTATATTTTCAAAAAGTTAAGTTAAAATTTATTTTAAGCGAACAAAAAAGTTTATAATATTCCTAAAAAAACACAGAGAAAATACTAATATCTTAAGGATTTAAAATAAATTTATTTTTTTAAAGCACTATTTTTTAGTTTAATGTACAAAATGTTTTTAAATTACTAAATTAGATAGATTAGATTAGACTTATATTGGTTTTATATTTAATCTTTGGTATTTTTTCCCAGTGTAAAGCACCAACTAAACGATAAAAACTGAGATAGAAATCAGGAAAAGGGGAAAAGTGGGGAAAGCGGCTTCGCCGTCGCAGGAATTAGCTCAAAATTGCAAAACTTAAGCCAAACGCTGGCGCGGAAAAAGGAGGAAAAAAGTGAAACGGAATCGGGCTAAAAGGAAAAGCGCCAAAGGAGGGGGAAGTGAGGAGGGAAGGGAGGATGAAGAAGGGAAAACAACAGGAGAGGTAGGTGAAAAGGGGAAAATCAAAACCACGAAACCAGGCGAAGGAAGGTGCCTCATTCTTTGTTTTATACCATCTACATAATAGATTGCCCAAGGAAGTAATAGAGAGAGATGGCGAATGCAGAAAGAGACAGCTGAAGGGGGGTGAGAGAGACGGCTAGCCACGGAAACAAGTCAATTTGCATTCCGGCTTAAACGAACATCGCCGGGTTAGTTAATGTTGCAGAGAAGTTTGGTAAGAAAGGCACAATAAAAAAAAAATAAAAGAGCAGGAAAGGGAATTTCGGTTGCATCAGCAATTGCCAATTAAAACCGAGACAAAGAAAGACGTATAAAATATAAAAAAAAAACCGACAGCCGGCCAATCACTATCGCTTGTACTCGCCGTTCAGACTTATTTTATTGTTTCAAAATTAGTTTAGCCCCCGACCCCGGGCACTAATCAATCAACTTACGAGCAAACTTCGATTAACTTTCGCAACAACTTTGCTCGGCAGCAATTAACCTTAACTTTGTTGATGAAATGGACAACAAAACCCGGAACCCTTGGTCGATTGCAAATATTATGGGAAACCAAAGCAATTTAGAGTCAATTCTCGGCTAAATTGTGAGTAAATATTAAACTGCTTTATGGAATTTCAGTTTAAACACTAAAAGGGGAAAAATCATCATTTTGATTTGTTTTAGTTTTTGATAAATAATTCCAGTAGATATTCCCAAATTTATATTTAAAATCCCATTATTTTCGCATAAGATTATTTGCTGTATATTTATATTAAATTTAGTAAAGCCTGCATTTTTTAGTCAATACAAAAATTACATTTATTTTTTAGTGTTTTATGTTTTTTTTTTGGCAATCTGTAAGTCGACAAGCAAGTCAAATATCGGCCTGAAATTATTTTATTTATTGAAACACAATCGCAACTCCCTCGGCGACCGTTGAATAAACTGCAAAACTCATTGAAACGCAGCTAAGCCAAATGCAGAATGGAATATATAAATATTATTGACTTTGCTTTATTGCTTTCGGTTGTGTAACAGGCAGGGCTATTATAAAATTAATTAAATTACACACTCACACGCACCAGTGCAAAGGCCAAAAAAGAGACAGCCAAATGAATGGATATGGAGATGCAAACCGTTGACAATTATTAAACCATAATTTCCACACGTCTGTACAAGTGTGTATGCCAGTTTTTTTTTTTGGCACTGAAATGCTATTTGTTTAATTGTACTACTCACTAATTGAGCGGTATGCAAATGCATGTCAAAACAACTGCGAAGCCAAACGGAATGTATCGAAACCGAATAAAAGTTCAATTAACCAGGAGGGAACAATTATATCTGCCTAATACGTATACGTGTGCATTGCGCCAGCAATTTAATTATGGCTTATATTGACATTCGTGCATATTTTTCGTGGCCGATTTCCAATTTTATTTGCCCCTCGATTATACTTTAAAATTCAGAGAACACATTTTATACAATCAGGTAATTGGTAATATTTATTACAAATAATAATGCAAATAAAATAAAGTACTGGCAGTTAATTAAAACCCGAAACAATAATAAAACTTCGTAAATTTGTACAAAACATTACACTAAATGAATTATTCTTATTCTTTATTAATAAAGACAAGAAAAACCTTACCAAAAAATTACATATATTTGTTATAACATTAATTAATATCACCTAATTAATCTTATTATTTCTTATTTCCTGATTCACTTGTTTATATTTGCATTTGTATTTACATTAATCTTTACATACATCTTTTTTGTGGTTGACAGTTGTTTTAGGGCTTCAGTCAATGGGTCTTACCATTATGTGAGGCACTGTACTTGAAGGCAGTTCCCCCGATAAAAGAGCAAACTGTTGCTAAGCCCCCAAAAGGGTTCGAGCCAATCCTTTCGAGTGAATTCCATTGCCCCAAGACAAACATGGGCCACGGCTAATAGTGTGAAAACAAAACAAGGGAACACACCAAGGGAAAAGAAATCTAAAGAAAAGAAAAAGGGAACCAAAGAATGGTAGGGTGGAAAATATCGTAAAATGCTAAGGTAAACAAACATTTATAAATAATGAACGATGATTGCTTATTTGAACAAAATGAAGGCGGACATGGATACGACTACGGTTACGTATTCACGTTCAAGGATATATAAGAAGGCGGAAGGCGATGAACTGCACTCCATGTGAATGTGAATGTGGCCATAAATGTAATTGTGAATGTGAATGGGTGTCTAATCATTATGGTCTTCAGAGAACAAACTCATCAATGGGCTTAATTGGTTTGGGTGTGCGGGACTATTAGAAGATATACCAATACACACAGCCGAATCAATTGGAATCGAGAGGAGGTAGCAACAATCTATTAGACCTTTAAACCAAATACACTACGCTTTTCTAAGCAAAAGTTTAAAAAAACAAACAGCCAAGTTTTCTTATAGTTTATGAATTGAAATTGCAGATTGGATTACGGCCACTTTCTCCGCCTGCGAAGGTGTTTGCTCCATTACTCCGTGTCTCCACTCATTTGGCCTTCATTGGCTGGGGCTTATGGCTTTCAATTTGAGTGTTTCTGGGGCCTCCTCTGTCATGCATACGTCCAAGGTGCTTAATAATTTAGCACACAGTTGCAATTTGACGTGCACGTGCATGGGAGAGAGAGCCTTTCTCCGTTCTCCTTTCTCAACCCACACAATCAATGCCATTATGCGTGTGTGTCTGCTGTGCGGTGTGCTATGCGAATTTAATGCACTTCTTGATGCAGCTGTGCATAAGAAATCAGATGCAACCTGCGAGACGCCAAATAGTCTTACATTTTCCATATCTGAGTTGGAGGTGAAGACATCGCATGCATTGAATTTGTCCCTTTTTCTCGGAAACTTTTCTGCTCATCATATAAACAATGCCACGCCCCTGGGTCCGAATGGCCACACTCAAAACAAAACTAGTCAAGTAAAAACTACAGACTACAAATTGTTGGAAAGAATAAGGATTCTTAAAACCAGTTTTTAAACCATGTTTGAAATAAAAAGTATGATTTGAAAATAAAAAAATTGTACGATGGTTTTATAGTTTTAAAAAGTCTTCAAAAATATACAACTTTGTTCAAAATACAATATCCAAGAACTTCCCCCAAAAATCATTAAATAAAAACAATATACA